TCGATAATTCATGATTTCTCTGTAAATTCTGTAACTAATAAATAGAAAAGAATAAGTACAGAATAATATCATTATTAATAGGTAAGGAGATAAATAATTCAGAGTTAGGACGGAAAACAGATTTTTCCTTTTAAAAATATATTGTTTGGATTAAAGACGATTAATTTAAAAGTCCTTTATATATATATTAGGGGCACCAGAAAGTAATGTCGCTTTCTTACATTAAATTCAAACGAATAAATTTGCAACAAGTTTTTATTTTTAATCAATAATATAATCACCCTCCTTATCAGCAACCTTTTGCCATCTAGTATGCCGATTTCAATCCCAGACCGATAAAAATCCATTGGTTTTTGAGTAAAATATCTCGAGATGGCATTTTGGACATCATCCAAATTTTCAAATTTTTCGTCACTAAGAAAATGTTGTAGGGATCGGAGTAAGTGGAAATCCGAGTGTGCGATATCGGTCGAATATAGTGAAAGAGGCAGTACCTCCCACCCCGATTCATTATATTTTTCCAGTGTTCGTCTTGCATTGTCGTGTTGCAGAATGACGCCTTTTCCGTTGACAATCGCCAGATATTTTTCGATTAAAAATTGGTTCACTAGATCCAATAAGGTCCAATTTCACAATAAAGGTCAACATTAACAGTTTTTCCAGGTTTCAGCAATTCAAAATGAACTATTCCGCGAATATTCCATCAAACACCCAGAAGTGCCTTTTCGGGATGTAAACCCTTTGTAACCCCTACTAAAACTGCCTTTTGAGTTTTGGATTATCATACAGGACTTATTTTTTTGTGTCCACTAATCAAACGATCAAAAAAACGGTTCTGTAAGGTGTCGTTGAAGCAATACGTTGCATGTGATGGATAGGTTGGCTTTGTTCTTTTCGGACATATTATGGGGGACTCAAACACCTGCTTTGCTTATTTTTCCATTCTGCTTTAAATGTCCTTGGATGGTCGACCAAGGTTGGTTAAGAGTGTTTGACATGGATTTGCTTCCACTTCTGTCCTGAGCATGTTGCTGTCGACAAGCGCAGAAACGACATTACTTTCCGGTCCCCCCTATTATATATAAGATAAGAAATATGTAAATCAACTTTATCATTTAATTTAGTAATAGCCTTTTCATTCCTCTTTTTTTTAATTTGGTTATTCCCTCTTTATTCCAAAAATAATAATAACATTTCTGGACTGTGACACTTCTAGATTACTCTATGCCACAAAGTTTGCAGAAATACTGATGCCGTAGATACTTCATACTTTTAAACTTATGTTTTTGCCAATTTATTGCCATTTACTTTTATTTAGAAATTAAATTTGTTATGATATTTTTAAATTAGATTTTTAAGTTCTTTCTAATTTACATATGAGAGCTCTCATAATGAAACGTATACGGGCTATGTCCCTGATGCCTACTCATACACTGTAAATATTGTTAAAAACTTTGTCTTACTTCGCTAACACACTAATGATTTTTTCTCAGAAGGCTTTTTTCTCCCCGAGCCTTTTTCTTTTTGAAGGGGAGGATGTGTAAAATTTAAAAAATATGTAAATTAGCTTTAAAATTTAATTTAGTAATAGCCTTTTAATTCCTCTTTTTTAATTTGGTTATTTTCTTTTTATTCTAAAAATAATAATAACATTTTTGGACTGCGCTATTTCTAGATTAAACTTTGCCCCAAAGCTTGCGTAACGCTGATGACGTAGTTATTTCAGAACCTAAACTCTGAGAACTGAAACCTTTCTAACGTAAACCAAAACCTTCCTCTTTGATGAACTACTCTATTGGATAAATGCTTGCTTTGCTTATATCTCTGTTGGTGCTTAGAGGCCATTTCATTTCGCTGCGCTCTTTTCCTGTCACAATAGTATTCAAAATGTAAATGTTCTGCAAATAGGCACAATTAGAGTGCCAAGTGAACTGTGGCTATAAATGTGAATTTAAATAAAAATGGAATTAAAACCGCCTCGACTGCCAAGTTTCTTAATCATTACGAATTCTACAATCAAAGCATCAAGTCTCTACGCCATAAATATTTCTACGTCTCAGTGTTCTCACTTCAGTACTTCTAAATTTTGCTTTTATTATCTATATATAGAGAGATAAAAGTTTAGAAATTAAATTCGAGAAAGCTGGTATAGTTTAAATAAAGTAAGTGGAATATTAAGTCAATCTAAAATGGTAAAATGATGATACAAACGTATCATGCAAGACCAAGAAACGTGAATGACGATAAGAAGTATAAAAAAATATTAAACGTGAATTATGCATTTAAAACAACTAAAAGTTAATAGAGTTACATTTTTCTAAAATCCATTGAGTGTTTGTATATTAGATCATATTTTGCTAAATATAAAAAGCTCAGAAATTACCTGCAATTAAACACTGGAAACTTACAAATTTTAGTACTCATAAAAGAAAAATAATGAATGGTGTTGATAAATGAACAAAGTGTTTTTAAATAAAAGACAAAAAAAAAAAAATAATAGCCAATCAAATGCATGAAGACAGTCAAAATATTTTCAAAACATTAAGTATCTATCTCTACTATGTTTTCAAATTCTGATATTTATCAATATAAAATTTATGCATATGCTGCGAATTTAGTTAAATAATCAAGCGATAACAGTTAAATCCCTGTTAAACCAATAAACACTCGAATTGGAAGTACATATACCAAAACTGAAACAAAAACAATTTAACAAACAAAACAAAAATATTTTAAAGAAACAACAAAACAAAAATATTTCAAAGAAATAGTATAATAAAATATAATTAATATATTATAATAAAATTAATGTAATACATGTTGCTGAAAATTCCTTGGTTTTCTTCAAGCAGCAACCAAAGAATTTTCAGTATAGCCGCTTTTCTGAATTACATCTATATGATTCTGAAATTTAGAAAAATTAATTGAAATAAAATTATAAAATAAATATAAATTTAATGAAAAATTATTAAATTAAAATCCCTTAAAAATAAAAAAAAATTTAAAAAACTTTTGCAATTAAATTAATTTTAATTAATCATCAAGATATAATCTGCTTCGATGTGACCCTAAAATAATTATTACAAATTACAAAAGAATTCTCCAATGAGAAACCAGAACAACCACTGGGTAAATCAAAAGAAATGTGCTAAAGGACTTTGCTTTAATAATTTTTAATAAATTAATTTTTTATTCCCAACTTTCTTTTAAAATTTTTTTCTAGACTTCACTATCTATTCTTCGGGTGCTCCTTGAAAAAAATTAAGGAATTTTCAACAACACTTTTTATGTTAATATTATTATGTTATATTAAATATATTTTATTATGTTATTTCGTTGTAATATTTTTGTTTCATTTTATTAAATTGTTTCTGTTTCAGTTTTAGAATGTGTACTTCCAATTACAGGGTTGATTCCTTTATTGATTTCATTATTATCTCTTTATTAGCATACGTATATATATATATATATATATATACTTATATTTCATAGAGGTGACTGATATAAGAGAAGCCTTCCCATTCTAACATTAGGTAAAATTCAACCTCACACTGAGTTTTAGAAAAAAAAATTTCTAAGCATAATAATAGCACTAATGAGGATTATACGCTCAAGATTTTCAAATCAAAATTTTACATTAGTAGCATAGGTATATTTTAACATATGTTTTTACCACATCATTTATAAACTCATCGCTTGGTTTTATGTACATGTTTCATATCCATTTAGTAAAAATGAAAAAAATAAATTTACAAAATGAAATACACTATATTTCGTAATTTTTCTTATCACTTAGGCGAAAACATTGTGTAAGATTTATGCTCAGATTGTTTTTATGTATTATTCTTTTGATTTACTCTGTGATTTTTATGGGCTTCTGCTTCGTATTCATCGCAGAAGGTAATAGTTTTGCCACGTACATTATTACTCAGGAAATGTAAATCTGTTACACCAAAATTAAATCTCATAGTTTCTCCTAATATTGAACGACAGGCATTATGAGGAATTTCTTCGATCAAAATTCTTCACAGTAGTCGTTGCCGACCTTTTGTGTCCGAGAAGGATTTGGGAAGGTTAAAATATATATTCATGGACTGATAGAAAGGAAATAAATGTGGTTAAAAGGTATCAGCATAATATCATTCATTAAGAAATTTTTGCCTGCTTGGAATAACATCTAGCCATTTTTAACTAAATAAAGCTTTGTAATCTAAGACTCTAAGGACTAGAAGGTTAAAATCAAAAGCTATAAATAAGTTGTACCCTCTCATTGCCCCCCCCCAAAAAAGGACGCATGAAAAACGTATGCATTTGGACAGGAAATCTGCTAAGGACTTATCCGTCTATGTAATTTTAACAACTTTTTTTGACAGCAGTTTGAAAGGCTGCAGTGCTATGTCGTTTTAACCTGCAATGCGATCTCAGTAGAATAGAGGAACAATCTTTACGTGGGGAATATGGTGAGCTAAAACTAAGATTTTGTTATCTGAAATAAGTTTATGCGGCTAAACAATTATTTCACTGATGTTTTACACAGTATTTTTTAATGAAAAGGACGGAGAGATGTATTAAAAAAAAATTCAAAATAGCGTAAGTTTGAGGACTCCTTACTAGACTCTGAATAAACCTGCAATGCGAACTTACCCCCACTCCTCACTCACAATCATTCATTAGTATAATTGTAACATGGGCTAAACTTGTAACATTCATATTATTTCTTTAACGAAGCGATTAAAATAGTTAAATTATTTCTTAAACGAAATTTTGACAATTCATATTATTGAATAATGTTTTGACAATTCTTATCATTTCTTAGACGAAGAGATGAAAAATCCTTACATTGTTCAGTAATTAATAACTTAAGAAGTGATGGCAAAATAGCAATAAGCCTAAAGTTTTAATACAGGATACACACAAGATAGCATTACTGCATTTTTAAAACTTATGACATCTTCAGTTCCTTCTACGGATTGAATTCCAAACACATGCAATAAATTTACCAACGTTAAAAGAATATGGTGGAGCAGCTGCGATGATGCCGATATTATGAGGTATCTGTATCTGAGAGGTTGACGCAGTTATACTTCATTGATTGACAGGCGCAAGCGTTTCATCACAATAGGCAGAAGTTTTTAGCTTCCTAACCCGATATTCATTTCAGCCACATTTTTCTTTCAGGATTTCTTTCTTCCCGGATAATCTAAAAATAAAATAAATAATAACTGAAAATTCTGGAAGATTTCAAATGGGAAAATGCAAAATTTTAATGTAGCATAAATTCAAAATGAATATAAAACTGAGGATTGGAGCTTTTAAATGCCAAAAATTTCTAGTTTCGAATCCCTGATTTCGTATTTCAGTATTTTAGGTAACCTAACTTCAGGTATTTAAAGCAACTGTCTCTGAAAAACAAGAAATTAAACAACACAGCAGAAAAATAGTTCAGTAATTTGGTGTCTGGCTTGATTATTTAAATAATGACTAGTTAATTCATTATGAATTAGTTTAAGTAAGTACTACTCGTACTTTCAATTGAAATTACTTTAGTGAATATTTAAAGCTATATAAAGCATTAACGTTGAATTCTAGTCATGAAAGGGAAAGTTATGAGAGGTATTTTCTTGACTAATCAACTAGTTACTGATTAGAGTTTTTGGTTTGGTTGACTGAGTAAGGCAAGGCAACTCGACGGCTTTGCCTTAATCAGTCTATGGGAAGGAATGCCTTCGTATATAAAACAGCTAATCAAAGTGCTTTTTTTTTTTAATTTCTAAAGAAAAAATATTTTTGTGTGCTCAGTAATTGTTTGACCATTACTTTCTCGTTCGTACACAAGAAGTGCACAATATTTTACTTATTCAACCTATTTCCATTAATTTTAAGATTTTTCGATTTTGTATAGCCGTAAGATACGACTTGTAAGGTCTTACTACAATACTTTGATTAAATTAAATATTTAATTATTCTCTCAAAAAATGTTTGAAAGTTAAATCAAATTTAAATTTCTAGCAATAAATGTCGTTGATCCCACATTGATGCTACTATATTATTTAATCACATCGGTAATTATTAATTTGATATTAATAAAAGTAACACAAATTTAATTATTTTTCTAAGGGTGTAGGGTTTATATTTATTTTAACTAACATTTATTTTAAGTTTAAACTATCTTTCCTGTCAAGCCTTACTTTCCCCTGGAATTGCCAATGCCAGAGTATGTAAATTTTAGTAGAACGCGCAAAGTATTCAGATCTTTAGCAGAAGTAATTTTGAGTTAAATAGAAGAGAAACTTTGTAGGTGTTGCTTTCTCGCTTCACGAGCGTGAAGGGGGTGCGGTAGAAATTTAAGAACCACCGCGGCGGCCTGTGGGTGTGCCTCGGCAGATAGTTGATCTTTCAACTTAATATCAGAGAGTTTGCTGAAATATCAGCTGTATCTTAGAACGCGGTTAGGTTAATTACGTTTAGAGAGCCTCGTAGGTAGTACTTGTTATTATTCATTTTAGTTTTCTATTTTATTTTACCGCCTGGTTGGCGTAGTTTGTGAGCGTCAAGTGCACGCATCTGTAACTTCTAAAGTAGAATAAAAAGAGAGTTAAACCCTTCTTAAGAGTTTTGTGTACTTTCCAGTTCATAACAGTCACTATTATTGTTGCGTGTAGGTTGGGGCCGCGCAACACCACAAGGGAAAAAAAAAAGAGCCGAACAACTTTTCATAGAAAGATATATAGTAGTTTAAAAAAGTTTTAAGCATAAGAAACATTCTTGATAAAAATTCAGCTGCTTTTCTCTAAAACTAAATATTTTTTATTTTTTATGTGTTTAAATACAAAGTCTTATGATAAATAAAACTAAATAACACTAATGAATAAACATTTGATATTATACATCGTGTCATTAAACACGAAATTAAGATAAAAAAAAAGTATTGAAAACTGCAGCAACAAATATGATAAAGAACCAGTTTCGTCAGACATTTCTTGCGAAAAAGCTGGAGGAGAACTCGCGGAGAACTTTCTAAAGGAAACTTGTTCGAATACCCGTTACACATGGAGAAAAATCACGAAAACCAACTGTGCAGCAGACTGGCTCACCTAAGTTCGAACCAGAAACGAACTACCAATATTTAGCAATTTTAAAGCGCTCGATCAGTGGCGGGGCTGAGTGTTTGGAATCGTAGAAATTTTCTGAGCATAAATAAAGTGATCTATTGCATGTATGTAAATGTATTGTTTGTATGTATGTAATTTCAGAATGGTAAAAGAAATTTTACTGAAAACAGACCACAAACAGGGCATCCAAAGAATTTCACTGAACACGGAGAAATGTAACAGTTAAAAATATTATTTGTAATTCTAAGATCAGTGCGGCCAAATTGACTCGAAAAAAACCGTACAAATGTTTAGCAAGTCTCCCTAATGCAGAAATTGTTAGGAGTATTATAGGTATGTATAACTTTTATGTCCGAATAACTAGAAAGAAACCATTTCTCTGTAAAGTGAATCGAAAAGCATGATTAATAAGCGCGAGGATTTCGGAATTCAGTTACATTTGTAAATGAAAACAGACCTAATAATTTGGGAGTGAAGGAAAGTAGATGGTATGATGATAAACCAACAATAAACTTCAAACTGCACTCCAAACGCTCAAAATAGGGTATATTTTCGAATCAAAAACTTCATTATGACAATGATTTTATGTATAATATTTTTATTCGCAAACTGACTTAATATATAACTGTCCATATATAATCAAAATACTTCTGCAAAGTGCAGACCTCAGTTCTATATAGCACATTTGGAACCATTTGCAAGACAATGCTAGTAAATTTAATATTTCCAACAGAGATGAACTTAGAGAAAAACTCACCAAAGAATGGGGAAAGTGGAAACAAAACTTTGCCAAAATGTGTTGACATCCATGCTTAGAAGACTCAATGTAGACATACTCGTATTTTTATATTTGGGGAAACTAGATCCATTACATTGTTAAAGTGCATTTTTGTGTGCTCCGCAATGGTTTGACCATTACTTTCTCGTTCGTACACAAGAAGTGCACAATATTTTACTTATTCAACATATTTCCATTAATTTTAAGATTTTTCGATTTTGTATAGCCGTAAGATATGACTTGTAAGGAAATACTTAGATTAAATTAAATATTCTCTCACAAAATGTTTGAAAGTTTGCTGTTCCCCAGCACTTTTGAGACGCACTTTTGTGTATACACCGGTTCGATACTTCCAGCACGAGAACATACTTTGTCACCAGCTCATTTCGACTGTGAGAAGATATTTCTAAACATGAGAAATATACCTATTAGATTAGGTATATCAGTATGCAAAGAATGAAACAGAACGACACTTCAGAAGCCCCCCGCCTCTTTTTTCAGTACTTCTTTTAAAAACAAGAATATTGTTTATAAGAGACCATAATAACGCATTTAATTTAACGAAGGCAAAGGAGCAACAATTATATGCATACATAGGATACTAACCAAAGTTCTGTCTCATTTTTTTTGGAACAAAAAATCCATTGTGACCCCCCTAAAAATACAAAATTAACATGAGCAAAGTTTTTTATTTTTATCATGTTTTAATTGTCCACCAACGGCCGAGCGGTAAAAGCCACTGCACACTGCTAATTCGGTAAAGGCCTCGAGCCTCAGCGAACGGACTGGCTGCCTGGGCGTTTTCGTAGACTTCCGCGTATGTAAGGTGGATACGAGTCACTTTCCCTTAAAAAGTCCTCCACGGGGTATCCCTCCGTCTCCATGTACAGCCAACGGCGGAGCATGCAATAAGTAAAAAATATCATGTTTTAATTTTTATTAGTTACAACAGCTAACTGTTAGATGAGCAGGAAATTAATTTCTCTATGCAATTTATTGCAGTACCACTGAAATCATTGCGAGGCCGTGCATTCATACAGCTTAGCTTTGAAACCGCTTAGGCTCACACAGCTATGAATGCTCTGCCTATAACGGAAAAAGTCCAAAAAAAAAAAAAAAAAAAAAACTTGCCTGATAACTAATTACAGTTTAAGATATAATATATCGCAGTTCTGCTTTGTCTTGAAAAGATATATATATATATATATATAAAATAAACAATATTGTGCATGCTATTTATTATGTGCCTGTTTTAAATTATCAAAGAATTATCACGAACAAATTGTTCAGTTACTGAAAAATTACAATCTTTTTTAACTGTGACTTAAGATAAACAAATTTGGTCATAAATGAAAGATTAGATTTCAAAAGATCTTGTTTGTTTCCAGGCTTGGGAAACGTATGTTAACTGTGCGTTATAAAGAGTTCCTTTCGCCAGATATTACCTTAATACTTAAAAGACTTGTTTGTTGCAGTAATGAATGATACCAGACTAGCTTTATTCGACAATAACGCTCCAGGAATAACTATCACGCACATATCCATTGTCATTTCACGAAGAAAATATCCAAAACTAGAAGCCGGTTTCGGTATTTCAGTCGTAGAAATCTGTCTGCTTAGAGAGGAGGCTTTTGGTTCGAGCTCCACTCACAGCTCAAATTTCTACGTTGTTTAGTTTGGATATTGGCCCAGATGTCTTCACAATTTGGTGAATTTGGTTTGAATCGGGCATTAGTAAGCCTAATCCTAGACAAACAAATTTCCTTGAGTTACCTGCAAAAATACAATGTGGAAGGAGGGTAAGCAATTGAAAAGATTTCAAAACTAAATAAAAAAATCAAATTTAAACAACAGAGTAGAGTTTTGCATAAAAATGTATCTCAGTGATGGTTTTTTTTTCCGAGTGGTGCTAGCCTTTTATAATATAAATAAAAGTGATTATTCGGGGTATCTGTCAACAGAAGAATCTTATCATTTTTCAGTGCTATTCTGATCGTTATGGTATATCTTCCTTCCTCTCTGAAAGTTTTAATTAAATATTTACCCATAAAATTCCAATTACAACATATTTTTAGTCTATCTAGACTCTTCCACCCAAACGTTGAACTTTTATAAATTTTTGGAATCTTTTGGATCACTTTGTACTGAAGCTCAATCGCAAATTATTGCAATAAGTTTATTTTTTTAATACATTCTATAAGATGTTTAGCATCTTTAACAGAATTAAGTCGCCTTTCTAGTTAAAATAAGGTTACTTTGAGGTAGATGGAAGCTCTCTAAACAAAATTAAAGACTGAATTCTGAGACTGACTTATCACTCATTGTAAAGTCCTAGTGTTCCGTCCATTTGTCCTGCGTATGATAGTAGCAGCTTAAAATATTTCTACATCTGTGTAAGGGAGGAAAAGATATATTGAAACCTAGAGAATTTTATTTATCATGAACAAGAACGCTTCTGCCCTAAGCTGGGAGGTGCGAGAAAGGTTTCCATTTATCCATGAAAGCGAAAAACGTGACTTACCAGCAAAATTAATGTCTTTTATAAAATTACTTCATAATTTCTCAAATTTGATTTATTACTGCTCAAATCTAAGTTTTCATTTACCTAGTTTGTTTCAGGTTATTACAAAACAGTTGCTTGTTTCCACAAGGTGTCATATCAGATAATATTACTTAACTAATGTCGCAACTATTGAGAAACCGTGAACCAATTTATTATTTATTTTCCCTTATCTTATGTTTATTCGTAAGCCAGTAACTTTCCGTCTTCTGTCTGAAAAATATGGAAAGATTTAGTAATTGTAACGTCATTGTAGCAGTTGTTGGTATTAGCTTCCAGATTTCAATCATTCTTTTCTGTAGGTCAGCTGTACTTTCATTCAAAGCAGGACTAGAATTCCGCCTCTTCCAACCTATCTGACGTCTTAACTGTCGGACTGCTCGCGCATTCCTTTCATTTCTTTAATTGTTAATTATTTTGATGACTAGGTGACCTTTTCAAGGCCACAATTCATATCCTAATATGCATTCGTTTAATTTGTTCCTCCTTGGGAAATGCGAAATGCACATTTCCCCAAAGTCACTTGAAGGTAATATCAGAGATGGAAACTAATATTTTTATACACAGAGAAGCAAATTTTACGGACGAAATATAGTAAGCAAATCACATTTAAACATGATATAAGTAGGACTTTTTCTCATTCCTTTGAATAATTATATTTAGTCATTTCCTTTTCATTGTATCTGTAAACAAAGAAAATATAATTATGGTTATTATACATGTAGTAAAATTAATAATTGACAGTATTTTGCATTTCAAGTTAATATTACGTGGGATAAACATAGCACATATGGAAAAAAAATGCAAAATAGTTTAAATTAAATAGGTTTCGACATATAAAATATACCAGCTGTAATTTTTATTTGATTTGTTTCATATTTGAAATTATCTGATAGTGAATGAATGAGCTTAAAATTCTGTCTCAAGCATTAAGAATCAAAATTTACCCAAGTTTAAAGAATATACCACATTACGATTGTGTTTCGTAACTCTGTTTGCTTATTAAAGCAAAAATCGAAACAATTTTTATTTAATTTGCAATTTAAGTGAAAAATTAGTAAGAAAGTTTTGAATCTTCTACATAGAAAATACCTTAGTTCTGCATTACATTCAGACAGAAATGAAAATTTTGAACTGTGTTAGGAGGATCAGCAAATTATGTCATTAAGAAAAAGCTGTCAAATTGGAGAATAAACTAAGAGATGGACACATGTGCACAATGTGTCCACTTGTCCACGATCTCTTCCACTGTGCTTCACGGTATGACTCACTAATACTTTCGTGTTGAAACTAAACTGCAGAATATTGAACTTTAACCCCCATCTGAAAAAACGTTTTGCCACGACGTTAAACTGTTTTTTTTTTTTTTTTTTTTTTTTTTTGACTGAAACAGGAGCACAGTTTCGAACCATTATCGAACTCATCGATATAACTGAACTTAAAACCAATAAACACAAGAATTAATTTCCTTTCGCTGAATTGCATTTCGTATATTCCTAATATCAAAATAAAAATAATAAGAGAAGAAAAAGCATATTTAAAAGGTTTTATTCATCGAAATTTGGATTAATTCCCAAAAATTTAGATTCATTCAAAATGAAGACCTGTCTTTTGGTCGATCGTGTCACATTATGCAACGGTATGTTATCCTATAAGTACACTATCTATTCCTCTAATCAACCACGTGAACTGGAATATTGCCAACTGTGAGAACTATATTACATCATTTGGCGAGTGGTAAGATTTGTAATTTATTTTTCAAGATTAAACAATATATTGCTTAAGGCAAGCACGGGGGATTAAAAAATAATATACGCTCTACATAATTTTATTACAAAAAATTATAGCCGTTAGTCAAAATTTTTTAAGTGAAAGATATTTTTCTTCTTCCGCGGGCATTTCTATATGCTGGAGGTGAGCGTTCTGTGCATAATGGAATATGCTTTTTCAAATTTTTCTCCTCAACAGATCTGTGGAGACAATAACAATAAAAGGAGTGCTTCTTGACGTGTCTAACCCCTCATTAAAAGTGAAAAATTTTAATAAGGCAATAATTACTGCCTCTTTCATCAGATATGCATAGTAAATTAATACAACCATCATCATTTTCTTGAGGGGATATATCGAGTGGGAAGACGTCATCATCCTTAAAACCAAAGATGTTGCTTCGTAAATTTTTCAATTTTTCGATGACTGGAATTTTTGTCACCGGAACGGAAGACTGGATGTTACCTAATTTTACACAGGCCTCATAGGAAGTGTAATGGCTAATTACCTGTTTTTCCAGTAACTCTTCATTTTATTTGCTAGTATACACCACACAGAATATTCAAGTCCACTTTCTGAATTTAGGAAGAGGGATACAGCTGCTAGGGATTGCAAAATTTAAAAGATTTAAATTTTCACTTCCAAAACATTGAAAACTTGAATATGCCAGGATGGCATATGAAACCGCTGAGCTGCAATATATTTCCTCTTGTTACTCCGATGCAAGAAGCCTTGAATGCATTAAAGTAAGATATTCAAGCACAAGTCTTATTTCAAATACGTGTGTACCTAAGTTTCGGAATTTAAAAGTCACTCCAGAGAAATAGATCAAAATAAAAATTGTTACCGAACAACATTATTAACTTTTCCTTCTTACCTATCAGAACCAGGCTTCAGTCAAGTTAGTAATTTACTGCAGAAAACAAAAAAACAAAAACAAAAAAAAAAAAAAAAAACAGGTTGAATGAGAAAGGTGAAGAGCAGCCATCACATCATTTGAAATCAAACTTTAGTGCAATTAGAATCCGTAGTTTTGTTTCTGAAAACTTGATTATATTCCTAAAACTAAAAATAATAACTACAAAAAATAATAAAACATAAGTCTATTAAACCTTTTCTTTTTTTTTTCAAAAATGTTTCCTTAGCGTAGCTGTTATCTTTAAATTAGTCGTGTGCAATTACTTGCATTATGATTATGTTGTATGTTGGGTATTACAAATAAAATTGTAAATGGGTCGATGAAGAAAAACATTCTTTTAAAAGGGGAAGGAGCAAGAAAAAGGTTCGGAATCTTTGGTCTAGATGCTCTTCATGTATACTGCTTATTAAAAGGCGGTGTGATATAGCTAATCGAAAGCAATTTAATAAAATAATAATTCAAAAGTTCACGCCTTATTTTATGTAACACCGATGTAAATGTGTTGCAATATATCCTTTTGCACAACAGTGTTAAAAGTATTTATTTTTAGTTTCAGGTGCTGAATATAGTTTCCATATGTTAACCGAAATGGCTCCTTCTTCCTTTTGTTCCGGTAAACAAAGTTCTGCGTCAGATAACAGAGACTTTTATTCTGTATGTAATTTCTGAAAATGTTTGAAACTCGAACTGAAACAAGAATAAAAGCAACCAGGTACTCGTAGGAACAGCTCACTATGAATTATTACAAAGCACTTTAACTCCAAGAACTTGGCCTTCTAAAGCAAAAGAAAATCGTACAAGAAGTTAATTTAAAAGTACAAAGTAGAAAAGTGGAGTTCTATCGCTCGCTAATGGTTTCGGAACTGATTAAATTTAATTTTTTACCATCGGATTACTAGATACTAGATACGAATTACTAGATACGAGAACAACACTGACAGCTCAGAAAGAAGATGACACAGGATGGCTCAAATTATAATAATCAGTTTTCAACATAGTTATATCGTTAAAAGTTGCTGAAATAATTTCTATAATGTCAACTGATTAGCTGCATTGACAATCGTAACTTCAATCATTCGTTGACAAAAATTATAATTAAAGAGAAATACCTTTTCTCTTTGTTTATAAGTTTTATCAAAGAGGTGAAAAACTTGTGACTCGGGAAGAAATTAGGGGAGGAGAAAAAAGCAATAGGTGAGAAAACCATGCCAGTGTAACAAATACTAAATGATAATTGATTTTGTCGTATTGTGTTAAGTAGTAAGTAATTTAGCTATTTCCACTTCAAGCTCAATTTGTTTTGAAGCCGCTGCTAAAGAATGTTATCAAAACTTGAGTTTATTAACCCACGGAATATTCTAAAATGCAAACGATGAAATACTTTTGCATAAACGCATCAATAAGATAGATGATGTAATTAAAATAAATCTTTTAACTGAAAAAAATTAGATATACTTCTGATTAAATCTTACAAAGAGAAGGAAAAAGTATGGAAAGAAATTCTTATAAAATCATTTATATTTAGCTACTTTTGGAATTACACAATGAAGAAATAAATATTTCTGGGAGTACGAAAAACCCCCATTCTTTCCCCAACAGGAACTGATTATTCCTAGCTTCATATGAATAAAGTTTAGAACTCGAATACGAGCCTTTAATAGAGATTTCGAAAATAGTGTATCATCAAAGTCAGTTTTGAATTCAGGTCAAATCTGCAGTATTAATCAAAATTTTACCTGATAAAAATCCTAGAGCTCTTTTTTAAATCCTAAGTACGGCACACATAATAAGTAATGCATATTTTGCGTCTCCCTTTCGATACCCCCCAAGTTTAATCAAAGTCTCTGTCGATTGTTCAAGATGTCAAAGCTGTCGTCAGTTGAGGAGACAATAAAGTAACAGGTGCATACCACTTGTTGCTTACATATATGAGGCACCGGTTGCTTCCATATTGCAACTTAAATGCAGAAGTTAACTCATTTAACAGTCTGCCCCCTGGTTTGTGACCGCAACAATGAGCATGAGTTAACTTAGAAAGCGTGCACATTTTAGCGTTCACTGACTAGAGGCAGTATTAGCGGCATCTGGGCAATTGTGGAGAAACGGAGGCAAGTACTTACTATATCATATTTATTAAAACTTATTTTCAAAGAGAAAATACTTGTAAACATTTATGACTGATAACATTTACTAGATAGAAACTTTTATTGAATAATGAATTTGTAAATAAATTTCTGACAGTTGTGCTCTGATCCAAAATACTTTAAGCATACCAAAACCATTCCAATTTCCAGAACATGCGTCTATTAGAAACTAATTACGTTTAAACTAATCTTCAGCTGAAAAATATCTGCAGTTCGTACAAGAATCTGATAAGAAGAGAATTGTATAACTAGAACTATATGGTATCCAAATTTGTTGATAAAATCGATGACTAAATGGAGTGAGTATTTCCCTGAATTTATATGTCACTTACTCGTAAAGAAAACTGCTGAATTACTTAACGAGTGCTTTAAAATGTACTCGGAGCAGGGGGAGTAGACAGATTAGATTAGATCATTAATTATAGTAAAATACTCAAGATTTTATCTACTTCAGGATGAATGCCATTATAGTGGACTCCTTATTAGAAAACAGTCTTGTATTCACTGCAACGAACCATGTATCGGAAGCTGTATTTGGCTATTAATATTCCGTCACTGGTGGGCCCCGTGGAAATTACCAAAATACATTTAAATATTTCAAACGTAAAAGCTGGTATACACCTATATTATTTGAAATAGTTTGTCTGCCTCATCTTAATTATTATATCTGTTCTACGTAAAAATTTATATAATAACGATATTTTGTATTAATAAAATGCTATAAATAACTCTTACACAAGTTGTTTTAGGTAACTGCTAGCACACTGAAGCTTTAAAAGAAGTCCCTCCACTCTCTCTATTAAGCGAAATGACAGCAAAAAAAAAAAAAAAAAAAAAAGCTTCGAAAGGTAACTCAAATGACCAGTGCTTTTATTCATATGCACAGACAAAACCCGATTCGAATACCTAATTAATACTGACGATCGCAATAAATTCAGTTAAGTTATATATCAAATATAAATAGTATAAATTAACGTAATACTAAATTTTTTGCAATTCGCTGTTTCGTGGTCTGTGAGTCTTAGCGTATTAAAATTACCAGGGAGCGCTATTATCAAGGACCCTTATCATATTAGAAATAACCATCATTTTCTTGTGATCATTGCTGTGCGTCTTAAAGCAATGCACTGAAGCACAGCTAATTTAATTTAAACTGCAGTCATCACACGTTTCATTCTAGCAAGTTGAGATAATATAGAGTCATTTTAGTGGAATACAAGCTTTAAAACCAAGTAAACATTTTCTCATTTACATACAAATGATACACATGCGGTGATCACGAATATGTCGAACGATATTAAAACTATTCGGAAAGGTATTAAAAAACTGTTTTACAGGAGATAATTTTGAGGTAATAAACAGGCTTCTCCCGGATTTAAATCAAGATACATGTAATTTCGTTACTATGACGTAAAAGTAAATTTTTTAAAAAGTTTTTCTTTTCTCTTCTACCGAGGGAAGGGGGAACTTTCAATCAAAATTTTGATATAATTAGCAGACGGCCCTAATGTGTATTGCCTTTAATAATCTAGTTCCTTCAGAGCTGATAAGCAGACCTTCTCCACTCACTCTCTGTCACGACTTTATGATATGGTCAAACAACCTTGAAGTTATGGTCAACCAGGTGAAGGTGTTACAAAGTAAGAAGTAATTCCAAATGACAGTAATTAATAATTAATTTAGGCGACAGCTGCTTAACATTTTTACCAGCCATTATCTGGAAAGACATATTTCAGAATTAATGCATATGAAACGAAGGCCTTTCTAGTCTGCTTCTCCAAGCTCCTAAATAATAGACTATTAATTTGTAACTTACCCGTTCCTTTTTACAACAAGGCCCACCAGCGGCCGAGCGGTAAAGTCGCTGAACACTGGTAGTTCGGTCCGAGGTTCGATTCCCGCGAACGGGCTGGCTGCATGGGTGTTTTCGTGGTTTTCCCCATGTGTAACGTGTATACGAGCCAGTTTCCCTTAGAAAGTCCTCCACGAAAGGCATCCCTCCTCTTAGGCAGATAGCCCTAGTGTGCTTTGCCATAAATAAATACACCACACCACCACCACACCTTTTTACAACAAAATCACCAACACCAGAGATGTTATTTCTAAAACAAAATCATTGTTTAAAAACATTCGGAATTTTAATATGATATTAGAAGAAATTCAAGCCTAGAACTTAATTGACATTCAAACTGAAATTAACGAAGAAGAAAATTCTTTTTCGTTAATTTCAGTTTGAGTAGCAAATATGGATGACTTCGAGAGGAAATAAAAAAAGACCGCCAGTACCTTATAGAACGCCAACGCTGAAACTCAGAATTTTCCGGTCATGAATTATGGTATAAAATTAATAAGCAGAGCCACTAATTACGGCACTACTTCTTACTCAGATTTAATGAAGAAAAGAAGCAAAAATATCGAAAAGAAAACAAACAAATCCCGTTTTTTCAATCTTCTGAATTCGTATTTTTTTCTTTTGAACAATTCAGTTTTTCTTATTTTCTCACAATTAAAATTCTCTTCACTTGCAGCTGTGTTGAAAAAGAAACGAATAAACAACCTAATCATTCAAAGAAAATGGAAGCGAGCTCCATCTGTACTAAATCTGTACAAAAATGACTCCATCTGTACAAAAATGAGCTTCGCATAACAGCATTTCAGTAGCATGTATCGCTTCACTTTAATAGCAATATGAAACTTTTCTCTCGAGTTCATTTCCAAAAGCTAAGTTTCGCGCTATCGGAAGAGAAGCATTTTAACGAATGTCCCTAACAGTTTAAATTATGGCTTTGTAAACAGTCTTTCTGTCGCCACAAGCTAACGCTATTTAAAGAAATGAAAAGAATAGGAAAAAAGAAAAAGAGTTTTTAAGACGTCACAGAAGCTCATAGAATAAAAGTGTGGCTATTAGAATGTAATCAATGAAACCTGAGGAAGAGGGGATGGATTTGTGCTGTTACAACGATGTTACATTTAAGTTAACACTTGTCTTCAGAAAGAAGTTGATATCAACTCACATAATACTATATAAAATAAAAACTCCGCTCAACTGCTTAAAAGTGGAGGTATCAGTTAAATTGTACGATTTGGCATGACCTAACAATACATAAGAAAGCCATTTACTGTTATGTATTTTTTTTTAGATGTAATTTTTTCAACTCCCATCAGGCGCGAAATTTCTGTTTTAACTGAAATTTAATTCATAAAAATTTTTTAGTTATATTTTTGAGCGCTGTAATTCTTTTTTACTTCCTTGTACGAAGTAAAAAGGAAGTATTGTAATTGCGAAAAGTTTCAGGCAGTATATTTCAACGAAAATATCCATTTTGACCGCTATTGAATGCAATTTAAGGATGTTTTTGCGTGATATCTGTACGTAAGAACAGAATAAAATACTCTTTTCCTTCAAAAAAAATTATAAAAACTGCTTTAAAATTAATTCTAAAGAGAATTTTTCGTGGCGTCTGTACGAACGTATGTACGTACGTGCGTACCTACCTACGTATCTCGCATAACTCAAAAACGAGTAGCCTCAGAACGTTGAAATTTTGTATATAGGACTGCTATAACATGTAGATGTGCACCTAGTATTTTGGTTGCAATCGGCCGCACCAAACGTATATAAATATATTTATATATATATCCACTCTGTTACCCGGCTCAGTGATCTCAGTTTCTTTACTCTTATATGTTTGTAAATTGTACATTTTTTGCTTTAAAAATGATTGAATTATGTTGTTTTTATCTTCCGGTTAAGGTCTTTATGCCTTTAGTAAATCTGTGTGCAATATTTTTAGAATTATCAACAACTTTAAAGTTGTTCAAGTGCCGCTAAGCCATTTTTTTTTATGGCGGCCATTGATTGCTTACATTTGAAACAGCAGATTAGTGGATTTGTTGCCAATCTAGAGAAACTTAGCTTCGCAACAACAAAGATAACGCCTTCATTTATTATTGCCAATTAAATCATGCTTAATCCCTTTCTGGAATTTTTTCGAGGAAATAAGTGTTTAAGATTTACTTCGTAATTTTTAATATAGATATTTTTGAGTTTTTATGTATTTTTGCCTTCTCGCGAAGTGAGAACTGTATTAATTAGAGGAATGATAAATACTCAATCGTCTGTGAAAAACTGTTTCTCTTTTGTTTTGTTTGCTTAATTTCTTTTATGTATAGTACATTGTTCTAGCTTTATTATAGTATTTGAATAGAACATGTGGCAACGATTAGATAATTCTATTCTTTAAATGATATAAATTTTGTGCATTATGAATCATAATATGAACGAAATATATAAGTTAACTGTTATATAATTATTGGATTATATAACAGTTAACTTAGTTTCCGTTAAAAAATTATTATATAAGTTAATTATATAAGTTAGCTGTTATATAGTTATTAATATTGTTAAGTGAATCTAGCGCCAGAGTGTCGCTATGGTAAACAAATACTAGAGTGAATTTTAAAGAATGCATTTATTCTATTGTGGTTTATGCGCTGTCGGCAAAATAGATTTAATTCAATCCAATAAGTTTAAATGAAATGCAAGAAAAAATGCGTATAATTTAATATTCCAATTTAATATTCCAATACAAGGAAGTCATGTGGTGTACACATCAGATTTTTTATAAAAGGATAAAGGCAACTTACGAAAGCCAAAAATAAACATATACGAAATATAATTTGCACACTTCAAATACGCTTTTATTATTACATAAAATAAGGAGGCTAGGAAAAAATAAAG